GATGCTCCAACCCTTTTCCACACAAGCCTTACCTGTGTCAAATTCGAGGCCATTCTTTCCAAAGGTATGACAGCAGCCTCCCGCCTTGGTATGCTGTTCCAGCACCAGAACTCGCTTGCCAGCTTTGGCCAGAATCGCGGCTGCAGCCAGGCCCCCAATGCCACTGCCAATCACCACCACGTCCAGCTTCTCCGGCACCCGGCTGGCTGAGAAAGCTGCAGCAGAGGGAGGGGGTGAGGGTGGGCTTCTCAGGAAAGGGTGGCAGAGACATGGACACCAAGGAAGCCTCTCTAGCTTGCCTAATGCTAGAAGTCTAGAGCAGTTTGGCAGAGACTCCTTAGTAGAATATCACAAACATTTTACCTGGGAAATGCTCAGGACCGGCAAAGTGATTTGGTTTGATCTGAACTGATTTAACCAAAGTTGCTATGTACATAGGGATTTTTCTCTACTTTCAAAGACAGTAGGAATCAGTAAATTTTTAATTTTTATTTATTTATTTACTTATTTTACTTTTTAAAATATATTTTATTGATTTTTTTACAGAGAGGAAGGGAGAGGAGAGAAATAGAGAGCTAGAAACATCGATGAGAGAGAGACATCAACCAGCTGCCTCCCGCACACCCCACATCAGGGATGTGCCCGCAACCAATGTACATGCCCTTGACTGGAATCGAACCTGGGACCTTTCAGTCCGCAGACTGACGCTCTATCCACTGAGCCAAACCGGTTTCGGCAAGAATCAGTAAATTTTTTTAAATTTATGTGAAAGGGGAGGGAGGAGTGTGTGTGAGAGAAATCAATTTGTTGTTCTATCGATACTTATTTATGTACTAGAGGCCCGATGCACGAAATTCATTCAAGAGTAGGCCTTCACAGCTGTGGCAGCTGCCTGGATCCCTCTCTCACCGGCTTGGTCTGGAAGGATGTCCCCCGAAGGACATCTAGTCTAATTAGCATATTAACCTTTTATTATATAGGATTCTTATATGTGTTCCGACCGCGGATCGAACCTGCAACCCTGGCTCATTTACTAATTCCCGCCCTGGCTGGGTAGCTCAGTTGGTGATAGGAGGGATCACTTAATGTTGACACACATTAGCCACCTTGGCACAAACATATTGTGGTGTGGCAAAACTAAAAATCATTTTAATTCCTTTTCTCTCTCTCCATTTTAAGCATAGACCTGACTCCCGTAAGTCCAGAGACCTCTTGGGACATGACCCCAAAAAGCACGTTAGACTGTGGATCCACAAATCTACCATTTTCCTTTCCTGAAAGTGAGGATTGGTTTGTGAAAAGCTGTTAAACATGCTTAATGTGAAATGTCAGCCCTTACTCTAAACTCTCCTTGTTCTGAGCATCAGATGAAGACTTGGTTGGGTTTCATAGTGGGCTTTCTGATTTTGGTAGTCCGTTGACGAGGGGAGTTTGAAAGTTGTTGTATACTGTTAAGGATTGTCTACCCATGTCCTGCCTTGAAACACAATGATTATTTATGAAAAGGCATCTTTATTAAAGCTGGATACAGTTTGGCTTTGGGGGCAGGGGGTAAACAGAGCCTGGACTTGACATTGCCAAGACCTTGGCACACGGAGGCCAGTGCGCGCATCCATGGGTCCACTGTTCCCCAGCCTGCCCAGCACAGGCTCCGGTTGGCGGCGGACACTAAAGAGGGCGCCTCCACGTGCACCAAGCCTTCCCAGCACTTTGCACGGGGGAGAAACTGAGGCCTAGGTCTGGCAGCAGCTCGCCCTGCCAGAAAGAAACCAAGGTCCCTTCCACTGACCTTGTTTCAGAACCTTCTTCCGGGCCTCCTTGTCGGTCACCAGGGGCGCGGGGGGCCGTTTGACGTCTTCGGAGAAAGGGTTCGGGGAGCTGCCCGAGAACAGCCCCAAGTAAACCTGGCGGAGGACGGCCAGCAGCAGCAGCACAGCCAGCAGCACCAGGGAGAGCCACATGGTTGCCTGTCCGAGGACTGGCACGCGCTCCGCCGGCGCCCAGATTTGTGGCGGAGATCCCATCCCGCAGGTTGTCCTGCCCGGCGGGAGGCGGGGGCAGGGGCTGTCCCGAGGAGCAGCGCTGCTGTTATTGGCCAGAAGCCCCGACTCCCGCGAAGATTGGCCCTCTCGGCGCTCCGTACGGCCGGGAGGCGGTGCGCGGACGCCACGCCCGCGGGCGGCGCGCCCCTCCCCCCGCCGGCGCGGGGCGGGCGGGCGCATGCGCAGTGGGAGGCGGCCGGCTGCGGCTGCGGTGGGAAAGCTTTGGGGGAGCGCGTCGGGCCAGCCCGGGGGGCCTGAAGGAGGGAATGTGGGGTGCCAGTGGTGGTCCCGGGGCGAGGCGAGGCTGAGAGGTGCGGGACTGAGAGAGAACCCCGACGGGGACGCCGGAGACTTGGGTTCCGGCCCGCGCTCGGCCGAGGACCTGAGGCAAGTGGCTTTGCTGTTTTCCCTCCGGAGAGAGGTGTCCGTGCCGGACCCGCTCGCCGCCGGCGGGCGCCCGGCCCCCCAGCTCCCCAAACTGGCCCGCGGTTCTGGCCGCGGCGCCCCCAAGGAACGGCGTTGCCGTGGGTGGGGCCTGCGGGCGCCCCGGGCCTCCGGATGGCTCCCGTGGGGGAGGCTCCTGGGGGCGGCCAGGGGACCGGGCGGGACCGGGGCCTCCAGCGACGAGCCTGATGGAAGGACCGGAGAGCTGCCATACCTGTGTGCGCATTTGTAGTTGAGGCGTGGACCCCGTTTCTAAATTAAATACCTACTCAGAGTTTAAGCTCCAGCAAGCAGTGAGAAAGTCAAACCCCAATGAAGTCCCTTCTCTAAAGCGGATACACCATAAATACTTCCTTTAGAAAGGATCCATCTTACCTGGCAGCGTGACTCAGTGGTTGAGCGTTGATTTATGAGCCAGGAGGTCACCGTTGGATTCCGGTCGGGGCACATGCGGATTGCGGGCTGGATCCCTAGTGTGGGGTGTGCAGGAGGCAGCGATCAATAATTCTCATCCTTGATGTTTCTATCTCTTACTCTCTGAAATCAACAAATTATATATATATATATATATATAAGGAAGGCCATTTCCTTAGGTCCAACTCTAAGGAACATGCCTAATAGAGATGGGAGTGACCTAAGAACTAACAGTTCTTGTGCGTTTGACAGTTTGCTCCTTTCTTTCTCTGATAAGATAGTCACTGTCCCTGTAGAAAACCCCCGGCAGTGCTCCAGCCAGAACCGAGGCCCTAGCAGGCATGTAATGCTGCTCATGCTTCTACTCTGCTTGGCTCATTTCATGCTCGGTGCCAGAAGGGCTTCCTGAGATTGCTGTTACCCTACCTGCCTCTCACCTTCCCAAGGCTGGCAGGTGTATGAGTGTTTTGTCAGACGCTGTCATGAGGGTCAAGGAGGAGGGGGAAAAGGGAAGCAGATGCTGAGACCCAGGAGGACGTAGAGGGAGCTGGTTCCTGAGTTGCCATGAGTAAGGAACGCTATCCTCTCTAAAGCACAGTGAGCCAGATGCCCAGCCCAAGAGCCAGGAGGTATCCCTGCTCCTTGGGTAGGAATCAGTGTGTCCTACCCCAACGAAGAGTCCTTTTTGTTACTGGCAGCCAGTTCTTAGGGAATCCAAATTATATTCCCACAGTGAGGCTGACCTAGAGATGAGGCCCTTCTTAGACACTCGAGTCTGTGAAGTATGATGGTCAGTTGTGTGTGGGCCATCTGTCCATTATGATTTGGCTTTTTGATTTATTTTTTTTAATAATTAAAGAGGAAGATGATATGAAGCTTGAATCAAAGGCAGTTTTTGTTTTGTTTTTTGGTATGTATTTATTTTAGAGAGGGAGAGAGAGAGAAACATCCATTGGCTGCCTCCTGCATGCTCACTACTGAGGATCAAGCCAGCAACCCCGGGCATGTGCCTTAACTGGGAATCGAACTGGCAAATTCTTGGAGCATGGGATGATGCTCAGCTGAGTCACATCAGCCAGGGCTGACCTGGCTTTTTGTTGTGATGTATCCCGTTCTCCTGTGATGGAAGTATGGGCCTCTCCCTCTCTCTTCTGAAGATAGATGTGGAATGAAAGGCTGAGTTAGCCAAACTGGCTAAGCAGCTGCAACATGTGCAATATTAGTGACAACTGAAGAAGGCTAACATTGTGTTGCATTTTAAATTTCTACCATCATAGGAACCAGGTCTAATAAGCCCCTAGACCCAAGCCTGAGCACTTCAGCTAAGACTACCCCTCAAGATGCCACCCATTAGCCTCACCTCTTTGATAAACTTCCCTAGATTAACTCCACTGTCAGAAACAGAACCCCACCACTGGCAGTGGTACTGCTACCTTCTGGATACTGAGAACCCAGCCCGTAGACTCCTGCAGGGTCCCCTTCTTTCCATCCAGTGGTATGGGTAGTAAGAGGTAGGCCTTTGACTAAGGCAGCTTATTAAGAATAAATTTACAGCCCAGCTGGATAAGCTCAATGGTTGAGCATGAACCTATGAGCCAGGAGGTCTCGGTTTGATTTCCAATCACAGCACATACCAGAGTTGTGGACTCGATCCCCAGTGTGTGGCATGCAGGAGGCAGCAATCAATGATTTTTTTCTCATCATTGATGTGTTTTTAAAAAAATATATTTTATTGATTTTGTACTGAGAGGAAGGGAGATAGTTAGAAACATCGATGAGAGAGAGTCATCGATCAGCTGCCTCTTGCACACCCCCTACCGCAACCAAGGCACATGCCCTTGACCAGAATTGAACCAAGGACCCTTCAGACCCCAAGCCGACGCTCTATCCATTGAGCCAAACCGGTTTCGGCATTATTGATATTTCTATCTCTCTGCCTCTGAAATAAAAAATATCTATTTAAAAAATAAAAATATTTTAACATTTTAAAAAGAACAAATTAACAGATTTTTTAAAGTCAGTTTTTCTCAGCAGAAGCATAACTGAATGATGAAACCAGTTTTCTTTTATTTTCTTTCTTTCTTTTTTTTTTTTTTACAGGGCTGAGGCTTCAAAGACCTCAGGGACTTCTTTCAGTACTCACAGAAACCCACACCCTGGTGATGGCACAAAGGGACTGTTTTCTTGCTCTAAGTCTGAATGACTGCCAAAAAGCAAGGCAAAGGTGGAGCAGTTGGATTTCTGGCTCTCCCCATAGCTTCTAATCGCAGACCTTAATAAACTCCTTTCTGAGCCCACAGACAAAGCTCACTTGAACAAATGATTCTGAGTCATGAATGAAAAATCTTGCTCTTTCCATAATGAAGAAGAATTAAGAGATGGACAGGTAAGCAAGCACTTCTGTTTTGGGGGGAAAGTTTTGGTGTGGGGTATATCATTAACAGTAATAAAAACATCAAGCGAATGTGGAACTTTATGTTTAGGAAAAACCCTCATTATAGTTCTCTTTGTTCTATTAGAAGAAGCTTCTATTCACCTCTGGGTCAGTTGCCTTTCTGAGAGCTTATTTTCTTAGTGGGTTGTGGGATTTGAGTTTGGGTTGCTTGGTAGAATGAGAATTTCAGTGAGGAATCTTTCTAGACATTTGTATTTCATTGATTTGTATTTCATTGATTCGGCCTGATTATCCTCAGACTCTTGGTTCAATGTGACCTATCTCTGTGCAATTTTATCTTTCCCACTACCTTGCCTAGAAATGTTTTCTTCTTAGAGAGAGAAATGGAGAAAGAGATCGAGATTGATTTCTTGTTCCACTTATTTATGCACTCATTGGTTGATTCTTGTATGTGCTCTGACAAAAAAATGTATTCCTAAGTGGAGCATGTGGGATATAGTGGTAGGAACTACGACAAAGCCTTTTTGCTTTGGGGGTTGCCTTCACTGAATTAAGACAGGTGAGCTGTATTTCCAAAGGGAAGTCTTTGGACACTGGAGGGGACTGAACTGGAGAGGGAAAGGAAGGATGAAATGAGCCCTAAGTACACAGACCCCTGCAGGGAGTTGTTCAGCATGGTGAATCACCAAGTATTTTTGATAACATATTTTGTGCCTAGTACTATGTGAATGAGCATGGGAGATATAAAAGAAGTATATTAGTAAGAGACGGTCCTTATGCTCAAAGCAGCAGATTCTGAATGGGGAGATAGGCCTTGGCAGAGAAACCTATGGTGCATATATAACGGCTTTAGACTTAAGGTAAGTGAGATACCATTGTAGCCCCAGTTGTGTAAGGCAGGCCATCTTTAGGAGGTTTTGAAGGGAACTGAGGACACAGAGAAGTTGGAGGTAGGTGTGTATTCTAGAGGAAAATCACATGACCCTAGAAATAGAAGTGAGAGTAATTGCAATAGTGTGTTCATTGGATTGAAGTGGGAAATACTAGTACTTAGGCATCATGAGGCCAGTTTTGGAGGAGTTGGCCCAGTTCTGGTTTGTTAGGAGGTTCATTCTCATCTCCCAGGGATAAAAAAAATCAAAGCTGGCCAAAACCGGTTTGGCTCAGTCGATAGAGCGTCAGCCTGCGGACTGGAAGGTCCCAGGTTCGATTACGGTCAGTGGCATGTACCTTGGTTGCGGGCACATCCCCAGTGGGGGGCGTGCAGGAGGCAGCTGGTCAATGATTCTCTCTCATTGATGTTTCTGGCTCTGTCCCTCTCTCTTCCTCTCTGTAAAAAATCAATAAAAAATATATATATATTTTTTAAATCAAAGCTGATTTTAAGGAGTATTAGCAAAAATATGTAGAAGGGATTAGAGTAATGGGATAATCTAGGATTGGAGGGCTTTGACTTCAGCAATGATTCCTTTATTAATTATTTTCTTTTCATTATATTTTTATTTATTCTACAGAAAATAATACATTCACATAATTCAAATTTCAAAACATACAGAGTATGTGCTATGAACAAATTGCCTCCTAGCCCCAGCTGATTTGGCTCAGTGAATAGAGTGTCAGCCTGTGAACTGAAGGGTCCCGAGTTCAATTCCAGTCAAGGGCACATATCGGTTGTGGCTTGATCCCTGGCCCTGGTCAGGGCACATATTCAAGAAGCAACCATTTAACGTTTCTCTCTCACATTGATGTTTCTCTCTGTCTCTCCCCCTCTTTTCCACTAAAAAAATCAATGGAAAAATATCCTTGGGTAAGGATTAATAACTGCAACAACAACAACAAAAAATTGCCACCCTAGCTGGTTTGGCTCAGTGGATAGAACATTAGCCTGTGAACTGGAAGGTCCTGGGTTCGATTCCAGTCAAGGGCACATGCCCAGGTTGTGGGCTTGATTCCCAAGAATGTATGCAGGAGGCAGCTGATCAATGATTCTCTCTCATCATTGATGTTTCTGTCTCTTTCTCCCTCTCCCTTCTTCTCTGAAATCAATTAAAAATATATATATATATATATATTTTAAAAATTGCCTTCTACCTTTGTCCCATGGCCACCAGTTTTAAAAAATATATATTTTATTGATTTTTTTTTTTTTTTTTACAGAGAGGGATAGATAATTAGAAACATCGATGAGAGAGAATCATCTCTCAGCTGCCTCCTGCACACCCCGTACTGGGGATGTGCCCTCAACCAAGGTACATGCCCTTGACCGGAACTGAGCTTGGGACCTTTCAGTCCACAGGCCGAGGCTCTATGCACTGAGCCAAACTGGTTTTGGCCCATGGCCACCAGTTTTTCTGTTGAAGGCAAACTTAGTACCACTTCTGGAAATAGTCTCTGTAGACAAGCAGATATGATTATGTATTATTTTTAAATATAAATAGTAAAATTGTCTATAATCTACCCTTTGCTTTTTCACTTAATATGTCATGAAGATTGTCCCATATTGTCCATAAAGCAGTTTTTTTTTCTTTTTCTAAATATATTTTTATTGATTTTATACAGAGAGGAAGGGAGGGAGATAGAGAGTTAGAAACATCGATGAGAGAGAGTCATCGATCAGCTGCCTCTTGCACACCCCCTACTGGGGATATGCCCGCAACCAAGGTACATGCCCTTGACCGGAATCGAACCCGGGTCCCTTCAGTCCCCAAGCCGACGCTCTATCCATTGAGCCAAACCGGTCCCAGCCATAAAGCACTTTCTTTTTCTTCTTTATGTGTATAATAGGCTCTCATTTAGTGAATATGCTTTAATTTATTTACTTAGTTCATTAGTGAACATTTTTTTACCCTTTTACTATTATAAACAGTGCTACAATGAATGACACCATAAGCATTTTATTTTGCACATGGATGAGTATCTCTGTTAGATGAATCCTATAATGCAATTGCAGGTCCAGAATGTATTATACAAAGAATGTATAATTTTGTCAGGTATTGTCAAGCTATAGAAGTGGTAACAATTTATTCTCTAGTATTTGGTGTTTGATAATACACTAGGTGAAAAAGTGTTTCAGAGTAGTTTTATTTTAGATTTCTCTTATCCTGGTTAAGATAGAGCATCTTTTCATATGTTTAAGAACTATTTGTGTTTCTTTTTACATAAAATAGCCATATCTATGCCTGTTTTTCTACTGGTTTGGGTAATTTTTTCTTACTGGTTTTGGAACTAATTTTTAATATATTAGGTAAATTAGTGCTATATGGGTGGTATGAGTTGCAAAAAGTTTGTCAGGTTTGTTTTTTAAGCTCTCATAGGGGAAAGGTTTGGCTGAGCAGAAAGGCCAAAAGTGAGGGAACTGCCTCACTGAACTTCGCTTACTCAGAGACCTTTAAACAGAGCCAGGAAATCTGTGTAAGATTTCTGAGATAACATTAACTCAGCTTTTTGCAGGTTTTCTTAACATTAGATTAAACAGAAGCTTTCCCTTATAGTATTTCTTGTAGTTAACTTCTTAGGAGTTCAGCCATTTGTGTGTGTGTGTGTGTGTGTGTGTGTGTGTGTGTGGTACTGGGGAAAGGAGTGACATTTAAGCTGTCATCTTTGGGGCTGACATGTGCCTGGGAGAGTGACTTTGGTTTGTCTTTCAGGTCAAAAGTGTGCCTGCTGGGAACTCTCCACCAAAGGACAAGGACAGCAGTGCTCTTCTGGCTTTCAGAGGAATTCCTGTACATATTGCACACACTTTAGTACTTCCCGCCAATACAAGTTTTTGTTGCATGCTATTAGGTGGTGCCAGGAACCCATGACACAAGATGGCATATACCAGTGGTCGGCAAACTGTGGCTTGCGAGCCACATGCGGCTCTTTGGCCTCTTGAGTGTGGCTCTTCTACAAAATACCATAGGCAGGCATGCATGTACAGTGCGATTGAAACTTTGTCGCCCATGTGCAGAAGTCGGTTTTCAGCTCTCAAAAGGAATTTAAATCGTACGGTTGACATTTGGCACTGTTGACTAATGAGTTTGCTGACCAATGGCATAGACCCTGCCCTTCAGGAGCTCATACTGAGGAGAAGGGGTGTGGGGCACAAACAAACAAAAAAACAGCGTCTGTCTAGTAAGATAATTGCTCTAGTGAAGCAAAATATAAAGTGCAATGGGAATACCAAAGGCACATGCAGCCTCATTGAGTTGTGTGGATTTTGATTGTTTACTATGCATGGAAGGCTTACACGTCCCCACATCACTTAACTTCTATATCAGAGTTGGAGTTTTCCAGGTGCCTCTCTTTAAAATTGGCTTTAATCAACCCATCAAAGTAGATTAGATCCTTCTGGCCCAAAGTTTCAGGGATATTCAGTACAATGGGTGGGGCATGTTTGTGTGGTTGGGGGGACATGGATCTACCCTTACACTAAAGATCACTGCCCTGCAGATATCGGAGTTGAAGAACCACGGCCTTCTCCGAGCCCTGACCGCAGACGCTAATGGATGGGCTCCAGGTAATAAGTCCTTTTCAGGGCCCTTGGAGCCTGGGTGGCCCAAGTCAGAGCTGCCCATGGATCTGCTTTTCATCATTTGAATTTCTCAGTACTTGTCCTACAGAATTTTGCAGATTTATCATTATTTAAGGAAAATTAGAATCAACACTGGAGGAGTCACAAGATCTGAGTTATAATCTAGCCCTACTAGCCCTGCTAGTGACTGATTATGTGCCTTTGGGCAAATAATATAATCTCTGTGTCTACAGTAGAGATAGTAAAACCTTCTTTATCCTCAAAAGGATATTATGATAATGAAATAAGACAGTATATGCAAAAGGGCTTTGAAAAAAAATCCTATTTTATCTGCTTTATATGGTTCTTTCCTATATTACTGGGTGGGCAAAAGCAGGTTTACTGTTGTTCATATGGAAAATAATACAGTAATCCATATATCAATATAAGTTCCTAATATGCAAATTGTCCCCTTGTGAGTTCGACCAGGAGACCAGGAGTTCGACTGTTCACTATGACATGTGCTGACCACCAGGGAGCAGTGTGGAACAAAGATAGGCCCTGGCCCGAAGCCAAGGAAGGGAGGCCCTGGCTGGCCAGCAGGCCCCCATCAGCCCTGATTGTGGGCCAGGCCTAAGGACTCTACCTGTGCATGAATTTTGTGCACCAGGCCTCTAGTCTATATACATAAAGGCCTAAGCCACCAGTCCACTGGCTGGTAGCTATGATGCACACTGGCCACCAGAGGGCAGACATTCAACACAGGAGTGGAAAACACAGGCATGGAAACATGGAACAAACTGATGAATCTTGGAGGGAAGAGGGCGGGAAGAGATTAACCAAAGATCTTATATACATACTAGAGGCCCTTGGCCTGGCCTGTGTGCACCTTCTTGCAATCTGGGACCCCTCGAGGGATGTTGGAGAGCTGATTTTGGCCTGATCCCTGCAGGCCAGACTGAGGGGCCCCACTGGTGCATGAATCCATGCACCAGGCTTCTAACCTTTTGCACTCCGCTGTCCCCTCTCAGGGGACATCGGAATTCTAGCATATCACTCGGATGTCCCTTCTCAGGGAACATTGCAGTTTATTAGTGATTACAGGGAATTGAGTTATTTCATCGCAACTTTTTGAGACAGGCGTCAAACCACTTATTACTGTCAAACATGCACTAATCAGCCTGCAATGCATATTGGGGAGTGTTTCAAAACTTATCATACTGTACAAAATTATAAACAATAAAATATTGTGTGTTTTTTGCAAATATACATTCCTCTATGTCACCCAATTCATATAAGTCCAATATCATTATAATACGTTACTTGGTTCCAAAATTATACTAAATAATACGAGGGTCTGTAAATGCATGTGTCCACCGCAAAGTAGCGTCGAGAGTAGCTGGTAGCCAATGTCCAGAATGGTTCGGAGTGCAAATGGCTAATTGATAAATATTAATACAAATATAAACTTTGTTTTGCTTACTTACAATTATAAACCTGCTTTTGCCCCACACTGTTTTTGTTGTTGTTGTTGTTAATCCTCACCAGAGGATATGTTTTCCAATGATTTTTAGAGTGGAAGGGAGGGAGAAAGGGAGAGAGACATAGATGTGCAAGAGTCACACTAATTTGCAACCTAGGTATGTGCCCTTGACTGGTAATTGAACCTGTAACCATTTGGTGCATAGGCTGGTGCCCTAACCATTGAGCACACCATCCAGGGTGAAGGGGGGGTTTTGTTTTTTACCATCATGGTAGATCGAGTATTCTATATTCTGTTGAAGTTATCCAGCTTGGAAGCCCTGAGGTTCTGTGTCTGCTGCCCCACCCAGAGTTTGGGGCTGATAAGATTGAGTTTCCCAGAGTTCCATACATTCAGGACCCAGGACCCATCTGATCTGCCACCACTCTTCACTGCCCTGCTTGGCCCAAGCCCACCACTGTGTCCATGATACTAGCTAACATATGTTAAGCACTTACCTTTGGGCCACATATTCCCCGAAGAGGTCGAAGAGTTACATCGACCGCATAGTAGTCCACGAGAGGTTACCGATGGTTAAGTAACTGGCCCAAAGAACAGCTAATAAATGGAGATGAACTGTTCACCAGCAATAGGCTCTAGAGCAAGCATGTCAAACTCAAAGGCTAACATGGGCTAAATAAATGAGGCATGCGGCCCGTGGGTCACGAATTTGACGTGCTTGCTCTAGACTCTGTGCTTTCTGCAACCATCCGCTACTGCTTCCCAGCCACTCTTCCTCATTATCCACTGGTGTTTTGAGTTGTTGGTAGAATTTTATTTAATTTGCAAGTATACTTTCAAAATAGTTTATTGTCACATGAGGTCCTCAGCCATGAGTTCAAGGCAGAGAGGAACTGTCCTAAACTGCTTTTACCACTGAGGCTGGAGGGATCTCAGTTTTTGGTATTTAACTGAAGTCTCTTCATCCTTTCCACTATTTATTGATGTCCTCCATAGCAAATGGGAAAAACCAATGACAGGACACGCCACTGGCAATTTGGGCCAGAGAGTGACAGCTGTGGTTTGGAGAAAAGGGCCATGTAGTAGCTATAGAGAGCCTATCATGCTGTTGTTGTTTTTTCTTCTACTTCCCCCCTCTTATCGTGCTTTATTCATTCATCAAATATTGAGCACGTGTCATGTGTCAGGCACTGTCCTAGGTTCTGGAGAGCCTCACCCTCATGTAGCTCCCAGTGCAGTGGGAGAAAGTTCACAAGACTGATAAGGCATCCAGGTGAGGGTGGTAATCAAAATTAACTGAAGGATGAGAAGGAGTTACACCAGAAGGGATTTCAGTTGACGGGCTTGCTGACTATCATCAGAGGGAGAGCAGTCTGTGCCACAGCACTGGAGATGGGAAGTATGGAGAACCTTTAGGTAGCCTTTATGTCTGACATAGAGTTAGAGAGGTAAAAGGGTCCAGATTGTGAGTACTGAGATGCTATGCTAAAGAGTTGAGTTTTACCTTGAGAATTATGGAGGATCCCTGGAGGGTCTTGACTAGGGAGCCAGGGTGGGACATCAGATCTGCCTTTCTGGAAGCTCACTCCGGCAGCCTCATGACGAGGGTACCTGAGGGCAGCAAGACCCAAGGCTGAGGGCTGACGGTGAGGCAGACTGCCCCGAGCTCAGAGGGTCTCCTTTTCTCACTGTTGCAGTTGTGAGCCCAGAGGTGCTCAGAGCCCAGGAAGAATGGGAAGCCGTGCAGAACATCCAGCCGGATACAGGTAACTGCAAGAATGACAACCTGCTGCTGGTCAAGGCACTGTCCACACATGAGGCTAATGTTTCTGTGACTCTGAGATTAGGAGACAGTTCCTGAATGGTCTTATTTTGGCTGTATGAAATAGAATAAAAACTCTTTCCAAATCTAACAATGACTTTCTGGAAGAAATGGGAATGAATGCCATGGGGAAAGGGCTGCCATCTACCCAACCCTGAGAGAATTCAGGGAGGACCGTGGCATGGTCAGCTTCTGTAGAGGGATGAGGTTAGCAGAAGGACGGAGGCGGGCAGCCAGGGCCCCTGCATAAGGCTGAGCAGGTTGTTCACTATACAAGGAAATCCCTGGAGTTGGGGGCTGAAGCCATCTGCTGGAAGGTTCTGAGCTTCGTAAAAAATTCTCACATCTCTTTCTGAGAGCTACAGGAAAGAACTAGGACCATATGGGAGAGATGTTATTGTTAACTTACAAGTTAATTCCCTATGGACAGGAACGCAGGATAGAGAGAGGGCCATTCATATATAGGGTGTGAGAAGGGGCAAAGTAGGAATTAGGAAATACCCCTGAGCAAAACTGTGGCACACTCTTTAGTGTGTACCTACTCCACTAGTGACACCCCCTCACAGATGAGTGGAATTTAGGGAGCCCCTGAGGGGCAGATCCTTCCCTACTCACAGCATAGATCGGCTTGCAAGCCTCTGACCAGCCTGATCTGAAAGGGTAGTTGATCCAGCAGCTTTGGGTGTCTGGTGTTTACAGCTGGAATCTGAGCTTAGAGGTGACAACTGGAACACCTCAGTGAATGCCTGCTGACACTGACTACTGTTACAAATCCTGGGTTTCTGCCTCTTCCCTTTTGCCACAGGGAGCCAGACAGACCAGCCCGCACAGCTGATCTCCTTCAGTGAGGCCCTGCAGCATTTCCAGACCATCGACCTCTCCTCCTTCAAGGTATGACATAGGGAGCTTTGGGATCTCCACTTCTTCCCAGGAGCCAGGTTTCTATCCCACCAGGACAGGGCCCTGGGCAAGCAGATGGAAGCTTCCAGTTGAGGGTCCTGTCTCACCTAGAAAAATCTTGGGATACAGGTTTGTGGCTGCCAAAGACCCTTGTTGCATGTAGGACTCCCGTGGCCTTTCTGGGTCTGTGCCCAGAGCTCTGGTGGCCCTGTCATACCGAGGTCCATGAGCTGCTCCCTGCTCTTCCCTGGTAATGATGCGGAGGTCTGGAATCAAATACTCGGTAGTTCCTTGAGGGAGCAAGGCAGCCTGTCCAGAGCTGAGTAATTAATGGCTAATGTAGGAAAATGCCCCATTCTCTAAAGGTATTAGAAGCTATCAGGGAATTTAAAAAATATGTAGGATTGGGAAAAGAAAGAGTCCTATATAATAAAAGGCTAATATGCAAATCGACCAGATGGTGGAACTACCAGTCACTATGATGCACACTGACCACCAGGGGGCAGACACTCAATGCAGGAGCTGCCCCCCTGGTGGTCAGTGCGCTCCCACAGGGGGAGCGCTGCTCGGCCAGAAGCCAGGCTTACAATTGGCGAGCACAGCGGCAGTGGTAGGAGCCTCTCCTGCCTCTGGAGCAGTGCTAAGGGGTCCTGGACTGCGAGAGGATGCAGGCCAGGCTGAGGGACACCCCCTCCCCCTCCAGTGCACAAACTTTCATGCACCGAGCCTCTAGTATTGAGAATAAAAGCTGGCGAGCTTTCTGGGGCATCTTGAGTGACCAGTAGTAAGTTTAGAGGAATGTGATTTCAGATCTTGTACCTAAAACCTGGCTCGAGAGAGGCTGAGAAGATAGGAATCAGGTTGCCAGAAGCTACCCAGATCAGTTTGTTTTAAGTCCCTGGCAGCAGCCCTGAGCAATGAGAAGCCAGCATGGCCTGGTTTAGGAAGTGCTGGTAGTGGTGGTAGCAGAAGGCTCTAGCTCCCCTCAGAGGTACCCAGCTCCAAAAAAGTCTCCACTCTACTCCTGTCCCCACTGGCTGTCTCATCCTAGAATTTGAGAGTGGTGCTAGACTTTATAAATTACGTCCTTTATGGAGAGAGACAGGCAAATATACAAAGGCTATGCAGAAGCAGCCCTGCTAGGAAACCTGGTCTGGTGTTTGTGAGACCACATGAGGGAGTCCCCTCAGCCAGCTTCCTTGACAGTCGATGGAATAGCTAGTTCTGGAAGAGCCCGAAGGACCAAATGTACACAACTGACTGATATGCTTGGGGACATCTCTGTTTACAAAGAACTTAAGAGCTGGGAGAGCCTGTCTCCAGAGATTCTTCAGATGCTTCACAGCGTCTGCCCGCTTTTTCCCTGGCCCAGAGACCAGCCACTTAATGGGAGAACTATGTCTTTCTGAAAGAATAGTCCCTGTGCTTAGCCTAAGGACAAGTTCATTAAAGTAGGTGAACCCAGCATGCTACCCATTACCTGCAACTTTCTCCCCAGAAAAGGATCCAGCCAACGATTCGAAGGACTGGGCTTGCTGCCCTCCGGCACTGCCTCTTCGGGCCTCCAAAGCTCCACCAGGGCCTCCGTGAAGAAAGGGACCTGGTCCTGACCATTGCTCAGTGTGAGTGCACTGGCGCTGCCACAGAGCAGGTGCTGCCGATGAGGTCAGGCAGAGAGCACTGTTTGCCCACCCTGTTCCTAAGCCTCACCCAAGGGTCTTGCATTTTCCGTGTTGATGTGGGGAGCAGGGGCTGAGAGTGAAAGTCTAGGAGAACAGGGTGTCTTGAGTACAGTCTGGATCTATCTTGAGAAGCACTTAGTCTTCCCTTGAAGGGCAAGCCAACTGAAACATGGATGTGTTTTGGGACAGGTGGCCTGGATAGCCAAGACCCAACACATGGCCGAGTCCTCAAGACCATCTATAAGAAGCTGACCGGCTCCAAGTTTGACTGTGCCCTCCACGGAGATCACTGGGAAGATCTGGGCTTTCAGGGTAAGAGAGAGGAATGGTTCATCTTCTCTTCTTGGACCCCTGATTCCGGGACTAGAGTGAGAGCCCAGCACCATGCGAAGGGATAGCAGGGAAAGCCTTCCAGGAAGAGGGGAGAGCAAATTCAAGGGCCCTGACATGACGCTTGCTCGCCTCGGTTAGAGAAACAGCGTGGCTGACGTGAGAGGAGAGTGGCAGGAGAAACGTTGACTGTTGTCAAACACTTACTCTGAGGTGGAAACTGCTGGAGTGATAGGGTTTGGAATCTGGTTTTCTCTTTTTCCTCTTTTCCATTAATATTGATGAAAAGTTTGCTTTATTTTTGAGTGAAACAAAATTATTTCACCTGCTTTTGGATTATGCTACTTTTTTCAAAATCATACCAAATTAACTTGTATAGAATAGGAAAATATCTTAATTTTAAAAAGAAACTTTATATACCCATGATTAATTGACAGTCTGTTGGTATTGACAACCTGTTTAAGTCCCTTTATCCTTCCTCATGTATAATTAATATGTCCTCTATATACTCTGAAAATCATGTGTGTTTGATTTTTGTTTCAACCATTAAACAACTTAAGAAATCTCAAGAGGAGAGGCAAAATCCATTGTATTTACTTTTCCATTGTTCTTTCTTCCTTTCTGATATCCCATGATTCTTTTTATAATTTCCTTTCTGTTTTAAAACATCTTTTAGGAATTTTCTTATGTAGGTCTACTGGTGATAAATCTGAGAATGACTTGATTTTCCCTTTATTTCTGAAGGGTAATTTTCCTACATATAGAATTCCCTGTTGACTGTTCTTTTCAGCACTTGATAAATGTGCTGCTGCCTTTTGGGCTTCATGGTTTCTGGTAAGAAAGCTGCTATCATTTTTATTTTTTTACATTTTTATTAATTTCAGAGAGGAAGGGAGAGAGAGAGAGAGAGAGAGAGAGAGAGAGAGAGAGAGAAACAATGAGAGAATCATCGATCAGTTGCCTTTTGCAAGTCCCACACTAGGATTGAGCCCTCAACCTGGGCATGTGCCTTGACTGAGAATTGAACCATGACCTTATGGTTCATAGGTTGATGCTTAATCAATGAGCCACACTGGGCATTAAAATATATAATATATTTTTATTGATTTCAGAGAGGAAGGGAGAGAGAAACATAAATGATGACAGAAAATCATTAATTGGCTGCCTCCTGCACACCCTCTACTGGGGGAGATTAAGCCCACAACCCAGGAATGTGCCTTTGGCCGGAATTGAACCTGGTACCCTTTAGTCTGCAGGCCAATCCTCTATCCACTGACTCAAACCTGCTAGGGCACTGCTGTCATTTTTAAAAATAAGCTTTTATTGATTTCAGAGAAAGGAAGGGAGAGGGAGAGGGAGAGGGAGAGGGAGAGGGAAGGAGAGAGAAAGAGAGAGAGAGAGAGAGAGAGAGAGAGAGAGAGAGAGAGAGAGAGAGAGAGAGAGAGAGAGAGAGAAACATCAATGATGAGAGAGTCATCGATTGGCTACCTCCTTCATGCCTCCTACTGGGGACTGAGCTTACAACCCGGGCATGTGCCCTAATCAGGAATTGAACCATGACCTCCTAGTTCAATTCACTAAGCAACACTGGCCAACAAGCTACTGTCATTTGAATTATTTCTCCCTGATAGTTAAAGGGTTGTTTTTCTCTCTTTATGTTTCCAATATTTTTATTTTTTGTCTTTAGTTTGCAGTGTTTTGATTATGATGTGTCTTGGTGTGAATATCTTTCACTTTATTCCATTTGGGGTTTAATCAGCTTCTTGGATCTTTTGCCAAATTTGATAAATATTCACCCATTATTGCTTTTGAGTATTTTTTTTTTACAAAAAAGTACTCCACACTTTCTCCTCTCCTGTGGAACTCTGATGGCACAAATGCCAGGTCTTTTGTTATTGCACCACAGGTCCCACGGGCTCTGTCTATAGTTCATGGATCTCTGGAGTGCTCCTCATTTTGTTTTGTTTTCCCCCCTCATTGTTCAGATTGGGTAATTTAAATTGTCACTGATTCTTTTCCTGTTATAGCTATTCTGCTGTTGAGCCCATCCAATGAGTTTTTAATTTTATATTTACTGAGATTTTCATTTCTTTTCTAAGTGTATTAGTAATTGCTTATCAAAGGCATTATCAAAGGTTTAGTAGCTATAACAACATAAGTCGAGGAGTTCTGTCATTCAGGTCTCACTGGCGTAAGGTCAAGGTGGCAGTAGAGCTGCATTTTTAAAAATATATATTTTACTGATTTTTTACAGAGTGGAAGGGAGGAGGATAGAGTTAGAAACATCGATCAGCTGCCTCCTGCACCCCCCTCCGCAAACTGGGGATGTGCCCACAATCAAGGTACATGCCCTTGATTGGAATTGAACCTGGGACCCTTCATTCCACAGGCTGAGGCTCTACCCACTGAGCTAAACCAGTTAGGGCCGAGCTGCATTTTTTTTTTAAATAAATTTTATTCTTTTAGTTTTTTATTTTATTGTATATCGTCCAGTGAGAATTTCCTTGTCTTTTTTACCATCTAGAGGCTGCCTGCATTCCTCCTCCTCCATAGCATCTCTCTGAGCCCCATTCTATTCGCACATCTTTTTCTGACTGTTTCTGCCTCCCTCTTTCACTTTTTACATTGGGCCCTTCCAGATAATCCTGGGTAATTTTTTTATCTGCTAATTAGCAACCTTAATTCTACCTGCACTCTTAATTCCCCCTTGGCCTGCAACATTACAGACACATAGGTTATGGGGATTAGGACAGGGACAATTTTGGAGGGGCCATTATTCTGCCTACAGCAGCAGCTTAAACACCTTTTTCTGGTGTTGCTGTCTACTTATTGCCTTTTCTCATCCAAATTGTGATTTTCCTTTGTGTAACAAGTGATTTTTTTTTATTGTGTCCTGAACATTTTGGGTATAGTGTAATTCGACTCTGGATCTTCTTTAAGTCTTCTATTTTAGCAGGCCTCCTCTTATACTGAGCCAATGGCTGGGGGGGGCTGTGACCTCATTACTGTCAGATTCGGAGGGAACCAGTTGGCCTCCACTAGTACTACTGGCTGGGAAGGGCAGGGACACCTCATTATTATTCCCATATGGCTCTACTTCACTTCCAGTGCCGCCAGAGGGAAGGGGCTCCTTAGCACCAGGAAAGGGTGAAGTCCCACTTCTCTGACTGTCCTGGTAAGGGATGTCCTGTCACAGTCAGTCCGGGAAGTCTAGGTTCTCCACTTGGCCTATAACTAAGTCATTGACGCTCCCGGGAGCAGGCATTTCATTAAGTATTGCTCTCATCACCCTCAATTCCTTCCTGGTTTCTGCTATAGGAGCAAATCCAGCCACAGACCTGAGAGGAGCAGGCTTCCTTGCCCTCCTGCATCTGCTGTACCTGGTGATGGACTCAAAGACCTTGCTGATGGCCCAGGAGATTTTCCGCCTGTCTCATCACCACATCCAGGTGGGGCTCTGGTGGGAAGCCAGCAGAGGGGGCTGTGGAGCTAGGACCTGGGCTCAGGGCTCTTTGAGCAGCCAGGTGGGCCTCCCAGGTAAATCTTTCTCATTGCTGAGGGCTCTTAGGACAACTGGGAGAAACCAGGATTGGTCTTCCCCTGACAGTGCTGGAGTCAGCTCTAGCACTCATTAGCACGAGTGTCAAGCATTGCCTCTATTCCCCAGGGCCTCAATTTCCTCATCTGTAGAATGGAAACCATGGAGACTCCAGCTGGGTAGTTGGAAAAATTAAAGGAGATAATGTATAATACAAAAGCACTAGGCAACTCACCACCCCCCTGGGAAATCCCTGAGTCTGAAGGAAAAGAGTCCACCTTGTGTGCCCAGAGAAGGTTTGCCTCTGGGTCAGGAGTTACTGACGGGCCAGAAGTGGCTTTTGTAGCCCTGTCTCTGTCCAGGTCTTCTCTCTGGGGTTGGGTTTGATGGTTTTCCCAGTTAGCAAAAGGTGGTAGGTATTCCTTCCATTTTATTTTATTTTATTTTATTATTATTTTTAATATATTTTAATTGATTTTTTTTTACAAAGAAGAAGGGAGAGGGATAGAGAGTCAGAAACATCGATGAGAAACATTCATCAGCTGCCTCCTGCACACCTCCCACTGGGGATGTGCCCACAATCAACGTACATGCCCTTGACCGGAATAGAACCTAGGACTCTCAGTCCGCAGGCTGACGCTCTATCCACTGAGCCAAACCAGGTAGGGCTATTCCTTCCATTTTAGAAATGAATTTGATCTGTTCTTGCCATGTATCCCCCAGATTTGTGGGACCTGGAACTCATTCACTAAACAAATATTTATTGAGCACCTCCTGTGCTAGTTATTTTTCTTGATCTTGAGATACATCAGTGAGCAAAACAATTCCAGCAGAGAAGACAAGTAAGCATTATATATACACTAATGATGGGATTGTTAGAAAGTGATGCATGTGCTAAGGAAAAAGCACAGGTGGGCTAAGGTTTGGAGAATGTGGGGAGGGGTTACAGTATTTTATGGATGGCCAAAGTATCTCCCATGAGAGGCAAGACTTAAACCAAGCCTGGAAGGGGTGAGGGTGTTAGCCAAGCTGGTTTTTGGGGGAAGAGCATTCCACACAGAGGGAGCAGGTGCAGCACAGGTCCTGAGGAGAGTGTCTGGCATGTGAAGAATAGCAGGGAAGCTGGCTGGAGCGGAAGGAAGAAGGGAAGGAAGGAGGAAAGGAGGTTAGAGGTTAATAGGGACCAGATGGCGCAGTTCCTGGTAGGTATGATAAGGGCTTTTGATTTTGCTCTGAGCAAAATGAGGGTTTTCAGCAGCTTGGAATACATGATCCAACTGGAAAGGTTTAAATGGATCCCACAGCTGCCCAGTGGAGGATAGTCTAGAGCAGCAATTTTTAAGTGACATGCCGCAAGAATTTTTAAAACAATACCTATTTAGTCAGGGTTTTTATTGGGGGCTGGCTGTGCAGGCCCCATCTGTAGCACACACCAGAATTCCAGAGTCACAGAGGGAAAGCAGGTGTTTAACGTAAACCATATTATTTACACAGTGAGTCATCCTGAGGGACTGGCAGGCGTCACTCACAACCCAAGTGCCCAGATGCCAGTCAAGAGCTAACCTTGTATGCAAGCCTTTCAAGGATAGCAGTCTCAGGCCGCTGCGTTAACTCAAAGTGCATTTCCCCTTTTTTTTTTTTTTTTTTCAATATATTTTATTGATTTTTTTATAGAGAGGAAAGGAGAGAGATAGAGAGCTAGAAACGTCGATGAGAGAGAAACATCAACCAGCTGCTTCTTGCACACCCCCTACCAGGGATGTGCCCGCAACCAATGTACATGCCCTTGACCGGAATCGAACCTGGGACCTTTCAGTCTGCAGACTGATGCTCTACCACTGAGCCAAACCAGTTTCGGCTGCATTTCCCTTTTTATTTTGAGAGATAGGAAAGCTATCTCAACGTTTGGGCGGCTTTACAAGGACACACAGCTAGCAGATGGCCAGGCCAACATCTGGAACCCAGGCGTCACGGAAGACCCTGAGAAAAGCTGGGAGGGGCCAGGAAACCACTGACAGGTCAGGCGGTGATGTCCACCAAAACCTACATCTGCACTGTCCACCACAGCAGCCAAGCACGTGTCACTGTGAGCACTTGGAGTCATGCTAGGATGAGCTAAAGAATTGTAGCATTTTACATTTTATTTAATTTAAATTTATATTTTAAAAGGTGTATGTGGTTAGTTGCTACCATACTGGACAGCACAGTATATCATAATGTAGTGAGTCTCCTTCTTGGGGAAGTAGACGGGATAGACTGGGACTCTTGGTCTGTCCTCAGTGGATGCCCTTGTGTACATTCAACAATGAAAACTAACGTGACATTTGTAAATCCCCTGCAAAATGTTTTTCATTTGCTTTCACGTGTGTGTGTGTGTGTGTGTGTGTGTGTGTGTGTGTGTTTTGGTTATTAAACAGGAAGGAATTTGCTCCTCTAAAAATAAAGCTTTGAGGTGGACCCTGCAGGGCATCCTGAGGCCCACCCTGGTGAGTGCTGGTGGGACTCCATGCTGCCTCTCGGGAGTGCTCAGGCCTCTGCTCCTGAGAGATGGGGTGTCCAGCAAGTCAAGGCTGACCTTCTACGTACTTGCACCTTCTCTGTCTGATTTTGGAGGAAGCTCTATGAGCAAATAACCAAAAGCCTATGGAAGGGAAGGAGAGACTTTAAGAACCTATATAGTTAGTTAGGTACCTGGACCTCACTCTCTCATATCCATCCTAACCCCAGGGGGTGATGGGTAGGTGTGGTGAAGGCCAACAAGGGCTCATGGGTTGGGATGTTGAGAAGCCGGAGAACTCTCCCAGGGGTTATGCAAACCAGCTTTGGAGTGAATTAATTCAGTTGGAATCCTTTCACCAAAGCTTCCGTTTCCTCATCTGTGAGATGAGATCATTGTGAAAATCCGTAGCATCATTGCTGCCTCTGGGCCAGGCTGCCTCTGGGCCCTGTAGACCAGGCTGGTTGTGGAAGAGGGAAACCCAGAAGGCGAGACCTGGGTTGGCACTGACCTGCCACTTCCATTCCAGCAATTCCCCTTCTGTTTGATGTCTGTGAACATCACCCGCATCGCAATCCAGGCCTTAAGAGAGGAGTGTCTCTCCAGGTGAGTCCTCCCACTGCTCATTCCCCCTGCCCCCGTGACCCCACCAGCTGATTAGGACCCAGCAGAGCCTGGTTCCCTCCCTCCTGCCTCATTCTCCCCAGCTTCCTTCCTCACCTGCTGGCTTCTGGGGGCAGTAGGCAACGTCCTTGTGCACCAGACCCACCTGCCAGCCCATCTCACCTGAGCTCAGATGTGAAGGCTGCCTGGGGAAGGGCTCTCGGGAGGGCAGTGGGGAAGGGCACCCAGGTGCCAGCCTTTGTCCGCCACCGCCCTTCCTGCAGGGAGTGCAATCGGCAGCAGAAGGTGATCCCAGTGGTGAACAGCTTCTATGCTGCCACTTTCCTCCACCTCGCCCACATCTGGAAGACACAGCAGAAGACCATCGCCGACTCGGGCTTTGTCCTCAAAGGTGTGCTCTTCTGGGGAGGCCTCGCTATTCCATGGCGACCCGGGGTGGTGACCAGACTGGGTTTGACTGCAGTTCCCTTCCAGCCCACCCTCTGGAGCCTTCTCGCTCTCCCTTGTCTGCCTCGCCTCCTCCCTTTCTGCCCTTATACCTGTGGTGATATTTTCTGAATCAAAAGCTGGGTCCGACAGTGGACTGACTATTCAGTCGCAGTTGTCCTGGGCAAGGTAGAGTGTGTGGTCCCTGTGGATCCTGTGGTCCCTTGATCTCCCTCCATGGTGAGCTCCCCATCTTAGAGGCCTCTTTCACCTCTCTCCATGGGACCCAGGCTGGGGTACTCCGAGAGCCCTGGACTGTGCATCCAAAGCCCCCGCAAGCCTTTTGTTCCCAATGCTCTGTTCCAGACTTGGAAGTGTTGGCCAAGAAGAGCCCACGGCGGCTGCTCAAGACCCTGGAGATCTACTTGGCTGGAGTGTCGAAGGGACAGACCTCCTTGCTGGGAGCACAGAAGTGCTGTGGGGCAGCAGCCCCTCACTCCAAGGACCTCACTTTCACAGGCGTGTGTGACCTGCCACCACACTCATCCGAAGGCATGTGGCCGGTCTGACCGCCGAGGCAAACCATGTCAGGGACACCTGGCTGGGCCACGCCCCTTCCCGTCTCAGCAGAAGGGACGTGGAAGCTCCCAGGCCTGGTTGGGGGAGCCAAGGACCTCCTCCTCATGAGACACAGGGCCAGTCAGACTTGACACACCCCCTACAGATGTGCCTCCTTTGCTGTCATCTGAGTTGGGCTCCAGGTCTCGATGAGTGAATGGATTGTGAGGTGGGAGAGCCCCATTGGGATGTTCCACACGCCCCCAGGTGGGGCTTTGAGACCCCTGGTGGCCATAGGACAGGGACCAGACAGAGATATAGATTGGTTAGAATATGAAGGGCAGCAGCCAACAGGGGGCAGCATGAACCAGAGCAAGACGCCCGAGGCCACAGCTGGGCCCGCCTTCCTCTCCTCCATCCCCCAGGCCAGTATAAGAACCCCTGGGGGCTTCTGGCCTTGCATTTGCCCCATCTCCTCTCCTCCCTGGGGTTCATGGTGCAGAACAGGGCCTTTGGCCGAGTCTCCATTGCTGCCCATCCTCACTGCCTGCCGGCAGGGCTTCCCCAGGAGGCTGTGCGGTGCCCATCTCAGGCGGTTTTGTAGCCTGGTTGGGAGAAGATCAGCAGTTACTGAATAAAAAAAATTGTTCTGAGATAAGGTTTCCACGTGTTTCCTCCAAGATAAGCCTTATTTATGCCTTCCCCAATCCCTGCGAGAGCCAGACCCTCCTCCGGGGGAAGGCCCTGGTCAGGGCTCCCAGAGAGGGCGCTGTGCCCTCACCAAACCACTGAGTTCACGTGACGGCCACCCTGCACTTGCAGGTCCAGAGACCCTTACACTCCAACCAGTGGGCGAGGTGAAATGGCTGTTGTTAAGACTGGCTGGTGTGCCGTGGCCAGTTGGGTTCACTGTATAGAGTAGGGGTGTCGAACTCAATCAGAGAAGGGGCCAAAATCTAAAATCCAGCCTAAATCGCGGGCCGAATGGTTTACTGAACAGTCATAAACTGTCATTGTGATGGAAACACAGCGGAGTGCAGTGATGACAGCGTGGTGCGGGCCACATTGCAAGGCCTGGCGGGACGGATTTGGCCCGCGGGCCTTGTGTTTGACACATGTGGTATAGAGCATTGGCCCATGGACTGAAGGGTCCGAGTTCGATTCCGGTCAAGGGCACGTATCTGGGTTGCAGGCTGAATCCCCGGCCTGATTGGGTACATGTAGGAGGCAACCAATTGATGTGTCTCTCACATCAATGTTTCCCTGTCTCTCCCCCTCCCACTCTCTCTAAAAATCAGTGGAAAAATTTCCTTAGGTGAGAAAAAAAAAAAAAAGGACTGGTATGAAGTGCCCACACTGGTTTTTTCCTGCACAATTTGTTTCTGGGGAAGCTGGCTGTTCCTTCACTCACCAAACAGCCTCCAGGCCAGGGTACCCTGACCTGGGCGGGGGCCTCACTACACTGCTCTCCTGTCCTCTGCCCTCCCTCAGGTAAAGCGTGGAAGACCCTGTCCAGCCCCTGCAGGCCTCTCCAAGGCTGGCCCTCTGGAGGTGGGGGCATCACAGGGGTGGGGCTGACACATGGCCACGCCAGGGGGGAAGGGACTTGTCAGTCAGCAGGATGCCTGGTGGGGCTGGCAACGGGCCCTGCAGTGTGCCGTGTCCTCTTTGCCCAGCCTGAACTAATCCGACCTCCAGTCGGGGCTTAGCTGACCAGCAGAGATGCAGGGAGATTGGTGGGTTGGAGTGCAGAAAGGCCGCAGCCCAGCCTCCACTTCGGTGTCAGGTTCAGTGCTTCCTTCCTGCAGATTCCTTCCACCTGCTCTGAGACCAGCTTCTCAGCAGACCTGACACTCAGCCCGAGCACTGCCAGGGCCGGCCACACGGGCCTGTCGCTGGAGGGGAGGCCAGGGCCTCGCAGGAGCCCTCTTCCCACTCCCTCCCTGTCCAGCGCTCTGCTCTCCAGACAGCAGACCGCTCACAGCTTCACAGCAGTAACAGTCCAGGGATCGGGTTCTGCTGAGGCCTTTTGGGTGGGCAGGGGAGGGGGAAGGGCGTTAGTCTCTAAAAACTCTGAAGAAGTTGCAAAGCCCTGGCCAGTCTGGCTCAGTGGAAAGTGTTGGCCTGCAGATGGAAGGGTCCCAGGTTCGCTTCTGGTCAAGGGCATGTACCTCAGTTTCAGACTCCTTCCTGGCCCGGGCCCTGGTCAGGGCTTGTGCAGGGGGCAACCAGTCAATGTGTTTCTCTCACATTGATATTTTTCTCTGTCCTTCCCTCTCTCTTTCACTCTCTCTAAAATAGAATCAATAAAAAATATTCTTGGGTGAAGATTAAAATTAAATAAAAATTTTAAAAAATGAAAAAGTAGATGCAAAAATCTTAATCTGTATTTTTGGGCAGGAAAAAGCCTGCCTAGGCCTTTCATGGGAGACTTAAAATGTTTCACACCCCTAAAGACGTCAGAACTACAGGTTTGGTGCAGCCCCTAACTCCTTTTAAAAATCATCCCTGAAGCTTCCAGTCAAGATAGCCGAGTCGTGCTCTTTAAAAAACTTTCCCCTGGCCGAAACCGGTTTGGCTCAGTGGTAGAGCATCGGTCTGCAGACTGAAGGGTCCCGGGTTCGATTCCGGTCAAGGGCATGTACATTGGTTGCGGGCACATCCCCAGTAGGGGGTGTACAGGAAGCAGCTGGTCGATGTTTCTCTCTCGTTGACATTTCTAGCTCTCTATCTCTCTCCCTTCCTCCTCTCTGTAAAATACCAATAAAAAATTTAAAAACTTTCCCCTGGTCCATGCTCTGTGTGGGCTGTCAGGTGGAGGACTGCGCAGAGAAAGGTGGCTATCCAGGGAGCCGATTTTTTATGCCTCTTGGCACAAAATCAACAAGATGAACTTGATTAGAACTTCTCTTTAGAATGGAAAGAGCAAGCATGTCAGCGCAGAAGCCACATAGCCCCAAGGGCCCAGGGGTGAGCTGGGTCAGCACAGATGGGCCGGCCAGGCCTCGCACTCTGGTCTAAACTCACACAGCCTGCCTGCTGTCGTCCCCCTGGGTCCTGCGCTCAGGATGGGACTGCTTTGGGGCAACGCCATTCTCCCTTATTTAGCTATCTAGCCTCTGATGTCCAAGCCACAAGAGCATCAACTCAGGGGCCCTAGTAATACATGACAATGTGCCGCGAAGTGACGATCAGACTGCACAGGAGGGAGATGTGCTGTTGCCTGGTGAGCATGCGTCCCTTGGAAGCAGCGGTTTATTAGGGCAGCTGAGGAAATGCTGGCTCGGACGGAGAGGCAGCCCCAGCTGGCTGCCACAACCTTCTCCCGGTTGGGAACGTGAGACTGATCTGAAGCCTCTGGCTGCAAGTGATCCTGAGCCTGGCACGGTGCCAACTCCCTATTGGGTTCACAGCAGTACCGGCCAGGCCCACGGGGACTCCCGGCCCCTCTGCCTTAATCCTGCAGAGCCGGCGCTGGCCCCTCGGAGGGGAGAGATTATCCCCTGGGCCCCACACCCCCAGCATGGGAATGAGCCCAGGTGAGTAGGTGGGGCGGGGAGAGTGAGCCCGGGCAGCAGTGCAGGCGGAGAGCGGGGGAAGCACTGGTCTCCTTTATTGAACATCTCATGGGGGCACCTCGGCACTGACCAGGCGGCAGGCGGAAGAGCAAGCAGGCGGGGCGGGGGGGGGTGGGGTGTGTGCAGCGAGACGGCCCCCTCACTTCCAGTTCTTGAAGAATTGCTTGAAGATGAGACTCTCCCGGCCCTGGGGCAGGATCTCCACCTGCAGGGACAGCAGGGGGAGACTTGCTCACAAGAATGCCCTCTCTGCCTCCACCAGGGAGGGCGGGGCTGGGGACCAGGCCTCGGTGCACTTGCTGTCCAGGCTGAGGATGCTCCTCCAAGGAGATGAGAGCTGAGAAAGATCACAGGCCACGGCCGAGGAAACGGACTGCTCCCAGGACGTAGGCAAACAGTTTGCGTGATGCACCAATTACAGATGAGCCTTATCAGCTCCTCAAAACCGTTCGTGGGGTCACCAAGCTGGGGTGGTACCAGCTTGGGACAGTGGCCTAGAAGTGCACAAGCTGCCCAACATCCTCTTGGAAAATAACATTTATGTTTTTCAAGGATTGAGGAGGGCTTCCCCGCTGGGTGGGTCTGGCAGGGAGGCCGGGCTGGCCCTCCCTGCCCCAGGCTTTCCTGCCCTCCTTGTCCGGTCTGAGCAGCAGCAGGTCAGGGAGGTGTCCCAGAGGAGGGTCGGGGCCCGGGTGTCGCCTCACCTGCGTGTTGGGGGCGTACCGCATGCGGGAGATGAAGTCCTCGGCCACTCGGAGGGCCGCCTGCCGCTCCTTCTCGTTGGCTTTTCGCCCTGGGCCACAGGAAGGAGATTTTTCAAAAGGTCAGGAACGCTTGCTAGCCCACATGCCGGTTTTTTTGTTTTGTTTTGTTTTCTTTTTTGAGGAAATCTCAGGGGGTTCCCAGAATTGCCAGTAACTTTTAATGCAAGTGGGCCAGGAGATGACAGGATTGCTGAGCTCTCTGGAGGTTTGAAGCCAGCCCCTTAAGGCTTCTCCCAGCCTGGCAGCTGAGCCAGATGACAAGTGTCCTTCTGTCCACTCATTCACTCTCCATCACACCCGGGGACACTCGTGGCATTAGAGCCATGGCCCCACCCCAGGACCCCAGCCTCCTGGGCCTACCACGTTCTGTTACCAAGCCTTCACCGTACAGCCGACCAGGGCAAAGGGTGTGACTGACTGCAGTCTGGGGCCCATAATGCCAGATAGCCGACACAGGCCCAAGAGTGATGCCAACTACGAGAAGGAATACCCCAGTCATCCGTTCTCTTCTGGAGGCAGTCCCTTAGCACAAATGGGCCCCAGCTTAAGGCATTTTCCAAGGCAGCAATATTGTCCACCGTGGTTGGCTCTCCAGTGCTAAAGACAAGCAATCCCAAATGGAACCCCATGTGGTAAACCCCACGAGACTCAGTGCCTCGCCTCAATGCAGTGTCCACCTCTCCCAGGAGCGGAATTCGGAAATCAGTCGTCCTGAATTTCCTGGTGAGCACTAGTGAGGCGTCTGCCGGATGAGACCCCCGCCCCCTAAGCAAAGGCGCCCTGGCCTGGGATAATCCGCTCTCCTCACTTCCCTGTCCCCCCAGAGAAGCCTTCCGTTTGCACAGCATTCCATTTACTAGATGGGATGCAGCCTGATTCACGTCTTAGGTCAACTGCGTTGACTTTCCTCCATTAACACTGTATCTGCAGAACCAGCTCAAGCGGCCTTACCCTCTTTCTAATGATACTGGGGTCAAAAAAACAAAATCGTTAAGTCATGCAGCCGAGGCAGGCACAGGAGAGGATTTTGAGCTGCACAACCAACGTTTCACCCCCACCTCATGGAACCAGAAAGCTGAGACTTGGCTGGAACGTGATCATCTGGGTCCTTTCAGAATCCAGGGTCTGTTGTCCAGAACGACCCGGAGTGCAGCCCTCTGACTGAAACCTGCCCGGCCAGCACTCCCCACGCCAGCCCGTCCTTCCCTTACACTACCCCCAAACCTCGCTCTGGGAGGCGATATGAGGCTTGCTTCCTATCTCCTTGCTGGTTGTCTTCCCAATAAATCTTTTTTTTTTCCTTTCCTTTT